TGTAATTTAAAACGCTTTGCATTAAAAAAGGAAATTGAAATTGGGAGCACCTGAATAGTGCATACATTAACTTCAGAAATACATTTTTCAACTAAACGTCGCCTAATATCATACATTCCAGTAAGAAACCAAATAACCAAATATTGTTACATAAAAACAATCTCAACAACTCTACAAGTAACAATGAACAACAGTACTCTACGGTTAGCATAAGTGTATTATGTTGCTAAATTTTTTTCGCAGGATTGTAACGATAGAAGGAGAACATTTATAAGTATAACGGCATCGAATTACATTAAGTTTGTATACTATTGCATAAAATAATCAATCAATTTATCATTTATTTCACTAGCGTGATAAACAGAGATTCCCGAACATACAACAAACTATCGAACATTAAAAATAGGATGTCATAGTTGTCAATAAGAACCCAATCAAAAAACTTACTAACAAATACGAGGATATTGTGACCAGGAGACGAAAGTAGAAAAGCTATCCCCATAAACAATTTGCTGATAACAACAGAGAACATTCCAACCATCACATATTTTATCATACGCCGACGAGCTCGTAATACTTGGTTCTGAACAATAGGATTGATTGAACTCCTAGTCCCAGTGAGATCGATCGAATCAACTTCATGTATAGAGTTGTAACTAGATAGTGGTTGGTTTGTGAGTAACGGTTCAGATGCAGATGTGCGAGGCTTTTTCACTACCTTCATCCAACGGATAGTAACCACAGTCAGTATAAACGATAGCAAACCCAGTAGGGTATTACTGAAGCCACTGAAAAAAAGACAAGTAGAAGATATTAGGTTTTGTATGAATAAATAAAATTTATCGACTTTACATTGATGACTATATTTGACCTACCTATAATATCCATATTGATCCACAGACCAGTTAAAAGGCGGTCCCATAAGGTACAAAAACGTATATTGCCCTTCATTATACGTAATCAAAGTTGTGAGGAATAGAACTACGACGACTAAAGTAGTAGTTACACTAGCATTACGGACTAACTAGAATTTAAGAGAAGAAAATAAAGTTTTCATTCATATAGGTGAAAATTGTTGAAAAAAACAGACATTCAGAAAATAAATATAAGATGGCATCAACTAATGGTTCCTTTAGAAAACTTATCTAAATGAAAAGGGTTTGCGATTAAAAACATTAATAATAAATATTTATAAACATATTTAATATTCAATTTCAATTGCCTGTGTTGAAGACTAACTGAAAAGACACAAACCTATCTCGAACAAGATAGTTTGCTTAAAAGCTTCATGACAATAAAATGGATAACATTATAGAAGGAAAAATCTAAGAAATGGGACAAACAAGCATTCATAACTGACATTCAGTGAGTCAGGAAACGCAGATTTGGTAGCTTGAACTAAATATCTGAAATTAAAGCGACATGATTCGACTTGTAACAGTGGTGTGACTGGACACATTCGATAATCATATCTAAAAGAGTACATTTTATATATATATATATTATATTTTATCTGTTTTGAAGTTTTGTTAGCGATTGGATCGGTTTTACTGGGTAGGGTTGACAGCTATGAGCCCAATCTTCCCTCTTCCTCCGGGCTGAGGACCTGCTAGTAAACTATGCTGCTTCAACACTACGGAGTACCACAAACCTTTATCAACCTCATTCAACAGCTGTAAGCTATATGATGCTATATGCCAAGTAATTCACAATGGAAAGCTCAGTAATGCCTTTGAAGTGAAGACAGGAGAAAGACAAAACTGCAGCCTACTATCACCGACGATCTTCCTGATTGTGGTCGACTGGACTGGACTGGATCATGCAACAAACTGAGGAGTGAGAAGATGGGCATACGCTGGCTGGACCAATGAAAAGACTCCAGAAGATTTGGATTTCGCAAACGATGATTTATGTCTAGTGTCTGATGTCGCACAAACTCGAGGATGTACGGGCGAAAACTATCAAGTTGACAGAAGAGGCAGGGCAGCAAAAGAAGACGGGAATCCAAGTGAACGTAGAGAAGACAGAGGTGATGAAGATACCCAACCAACAACAACAACAAAAATAACAAGTACCAATCACCATCAACGGGAGGAATCTAAAAAGAAGTAGTCTCTTTCATCTACCTTCCTAGTCAGCATCGTCTCAACTACAGGCGGCACAGATGACGACGTCAAAGCCAGGATTGGAAAGACAGCAAGACAGGTCTTCATTAGTCTGAAACCAGTGTGGAGATCTACTGCACTGCATTCAGCATAAAACGCGAACAAGATCCGAATTTCCAACACTAATTCAATCTATATGGTTCAGAAACTTGGCGCGTTACGAAAAGCATTTCCAACAAACTACAGGTATTCATCAACAACTGCCTACGCTCGATACTGAAGATCAGATGGCCAGAATAATAAAAATAAGCAACAAGGAACTCTGGCCGGGCAACGAACCAACCAAGAACCTATCACCCAACAAATATGCAGAAGAAAGTGGAGATGGATTGGGCATGCACTGAGAAGACCATTCGGGGACATCATGCGTCAAACCAGGCCCTCCAGTGGAATCCAAAGGAGAAGCGACGAGTTGGGCGTCCGAGGGTGACATGGAGGAGATCATGTGAGGAAGAAATGAAAGCCTGTGAGCAGTCGTGGAGCCAGACTGCAGAGAACAGAGTGAAATGGCGATGTGCTACTGAAGCCCTATGTTCCGCTAGGAACCAAAGGGACAAAAATAATTATATATATATATATATATATATATATATATATATATATCACCGACTGACAAGAAGTTACGAACCAACTGCACTAATGATCGGTGCTCAACAGTCAGACTGAAATGCTCTAACAAAATGACAACGACTTCCCTCGTTTATACCAGAGCTCATTATCAGTGTAAGAGAATTAGATCAATCTAGACACCCAATATATTGCAGTTATTCCGAAACTGACCACTTCAATTTTTTTACCGGTTTGTAGTCTGATCATTAGAGCTCAGAAAGAATCTTTGATTGGAACTCTTAGGGTTAAAATTAATTTTCTGGTGTGGATTTCCAATGGGTACTATAAATGACTGATAAGATTAGCATGAATATTTTAATCTCTATAGCTCTACGATAACTAAACGAATACACGTCCTGCTAAGGATATAAGGAATGTGGACAATCATATCAACGGTAAGCTGGTTTTGGAAATCCATTGCGAAGACTGCATCACATGAGAAGTTCATTCATCTTTTATAAGCAAAATCTGTGAACCAGTGATATGATTCAATACTAAACAAAGAGTAAGAAGTTGGAAAGTGATGGATGAATTGAAACATGATCGTGTAATTATGAGCTACGTTACAGGTAAGGAAAGGCGGTGTAGAGCAAGCATAGCGGTATTCCGATGTAAATATAAATTGAAACAGTCACAAACAAAAATAACCAATGTAAAATCCAGAAAAATTGGGTATCACATCTTGTGACAGTGTCCACCATAATTCTCCAGACTCATCAAAGAAGCTGGAGATAAATACATTACTGACAATCAACTAGCATCGAAAAATAGAGCGAACACAAAGAGAGGAATTTAAAGGTAATTCATCGAACGTTCGTAAACTTACGTCAGTAAAACACGCTACATAACATCCCAACGTATATCAGGATATCGGATAATGAAAAAGAAGAAGATATACAAAAGTATGAAAATAATTTCCACGACAGATTTGAAGAATTAGAACAAGACGAAACAAACCACAAGTGGAAAAAAGTTTTTAGTTTTCCAAGATTCAAAAATAAATAGGGCAAAACTGCACTACCACTACATCTTATCTAATCAGCAGGAGAGTCGAAGGGTGCCTAAATAATAGCAAAGTATGTTTGGAGGACATAAATTTACCTGTACCTGGATAACTTGTTTTAAAGCAAAGAAATGATTGGAACAAAAAGAATTTAAATATGGCCTATTTCTCTAACCGGCTGCTCCCAAGCTGGAGTTACGGTGCTGCTGATTAAGGACTTCATAGACTTAAGAAGAATATTGGTTCAACTAATTTTACCATGGTTATCACAAAGAGACTTCTGTCCACTTACGTAAAATAAAACAACGAAATTTTAAGGCTAGTCCGAAAGTATGATATCGAATTACAACATAAAATAATACTTCAGTCAGTCCGAATAATAACCCTATAACAAGAGCATTAAAGATTTTTGAAAGCGGTTGATAAATGTTGACGGTAAGATTATAATAACCCAATCAGTATGTTTTTATCGACCTTCCCAGTCAATGCTATAAAAATAATCATAAATGTGAGCTTTGCAAACAAGCTGCACCGAAAATGTAGTTCAATAATACCTTATCTGCATGTGATTAAAAGCATGTCTAACAGCAGATCACTCAAATAACACTAAAGTTGTAAAACTTCACATTTTTTTTAACTAATTCGTAAGGTTGTGGTCTATAATTTATCGAGCTGCCATGATTAGTAGATTGTGAATACCTAGCAAAAAAAATATATCTCTAATGATCACAATACTCTTGGACACACGTGTCTTCCTAATTTTTTCAGCAAAGGGGGTTGTTCTACCTCCCCCACAACATATGCGGCTTCTGAAATCCAGGAATAAGTCTATAGCAAAAAAAACATACGAACAAAGAATCTGGAACATGAAAATCATCGGTTTAAACAATCACACTTCAAAGCAATATGAAAGGAGGAGTACGGAGAAGTGATACTTGGGGTAGCAAATGCGAAAGAAATGAGAGGAACTACATGGATTAAGATTACTGAAGACGCTCAAGTCCACCAAAAAATGGGAAATAGCGTATCCATCTGCACCAATATGACCGATCTGAAACCATACTACAGAGTCTCCAATCACGAGGATCCCAGTCAAGTGGCTAACACCTTTCTATATGACACAGGTCAACAGCTGGAGACATCCTAGGCTGGTAATAAGTCTTGTCTCGTCACACTTAGCGTTCTTCTAACCTAATATTACTTTAACTGACATCATACGTCAAGGTAAATGACGTTTCACCATATGCCAACACATGTTTAAGTCACCGCTCAGTTCACCAAGGTTCCCAACCCCATCAAGTGACTTGCTTTTTCAATGGCGAGTAGATCCATACACAGGTTTTTCATCCGCTGCACCAGAGGATCGAACCTAGCTCCACCCACAGTGAAATGGGTAGTCAAGCAGCATCATTAGCCCTCAAACCATAAGTGGGGCTCATAAACTACTGCGCGAACGTGCACAATATTTCTGAGTGTCAATGGATTTTTTTAGTAATTTGGGCTTTATCTCGACATCGGCTTCGACGTGGTTACATTACATGCGAGAAACGCTACTAAGACACTATGTTGAAGCTGTAACCTCTTCATACCTTCCGCCTTCAACAGGAATATCGGACTGCTTTAATTCATTCTTATTCTCTCGTAGAAAGTCAGATATCTATTCGAGTCATCAGTGGCGTAACGTAGCGAAAGCTGCATCGGAATTTTAAATTCGAGAGATTTCGTACGCAATCAACGCGTTCAGGTTAAAAAAGCCATTGGTTAATTCAATCACCTAAATTCTTATCATGTTTTTAACTCCATACTTATATATATATATATATATATATATATATATATATATATATATATGCATGCATGCTAAATTCGATTCACCAAGCAGTCTGGAATGCATGAGCAGCCCATTCCGGAATTTTATCGCAGAGACGTATGTTGAAACCCCGTCAGCCCGAAAACAACAAAAATGAAAGCATTCACCAAACCACGAAGATGAAGACCAGAAGGAAAAAAA